AGTCCTGTGCTCATTGCACAAGTTGGCTGTTTGAAACCTGGAGCTTATGCAGGGACGCTTGGCTCAGTCTGGGAGGAAGGGACTGGACCTGCCTGGACTGAGTCTACCAGGCTGATCGCAGTCCTCAGGGGAGGCTTTGCTCTGGAGGAGGTGGGAATGGGGGATGGGCTGGGGGTAAGGGGAGGGGTGGGAGGAGGGAGAACAGGGGAACCCATGGCTCATATGTAGAACTGAATGGTATTGTAAAATAAAATAAAACGAAAAAAAAAGACATTCACATACAAAAAAAAGTCATTTTTGTAATACTGTATGTATGTTCCTACTCTTGTTTGGGAAATTGTGCTTATGCAGCTCATTTAATGTATAATTAAAAACAAGGTAATAGTCATCTATAGTAATCAAACTTGTAGTCATATTAAGTATGTTTTCAAGTTTAAACAAATATATTAAATAAATATATGGTTTTCAAACACCTCAAAAACTTACAGAATATGGCATTTAGTATGATTAATAACCTGAGGCTTTTCATCACAGTGAGACACTTTTGTTCCTGACAGCACCAATCTACTTCAGAGAAGATGATGGGCATTGATGAACCTTAATATAGAGTTCACTTTCTGCAAGGAACTGCTCTTGCTTGACTGCTGACAGAATGCTGTCCAAGCTGGACTTGCAGGATGCAAAATGAAGTGACTTGCCAAACTTTGCCAAGACAAGGTAGGACAGTCCTTCAAAACTCCCACTGACAGGTCCATGATTTCCTGGCTGAATGATCTTGGAGAAATTCCAGAACTCCATCTTCCCTTTAAACCCCTCAAAATGTTGTTCTAAGGATGAGGCTGCATATAGGGGCGATATTCAGTGAATGCCAGCTGTGAATATTTACCATTATCATAGTTATTATCTATGGGTCAAGACTCAGACCCACTCAGGCTCATGCAAATGACATTTGCAGAATTCTAAAATTGGTAATAAAATGTAAAAATATTTGAGGAGTTGCCAGCCATCTATCTTAGGAAAACCAGGGGAGATCAATTTATTCTTATACTCCTCGGTAGTTTAAGGGTTAGGTCAGGTGATAGCAGAGAGGACTGGACAATGGGAGTAAAGAAAGGTGGAAAAATGGCAGATGCAGTAGAAGGGGAAATTTCTTGCAGTATAGAATAATAAGAGATGCGTGTGTGTGATGTGAAATACATTCTTAGTTTTGCTCCCTAAACTAAAAGTACCACTGCTTGTGCTGGGAGAAAACCTTATATCCCCACTTACACATTCTCAAAACCTTCTCCGGGTACTTTCCTGTCACAACAATCCTACCAATGAGATAGAAATACACTTGCATGAGAATCTTATCTAACTTTTAATCTATTCAAACTGCCCAAGGATGGCAAACAGACTTCATCATATGTAGCGCTTTCTCCAATGATTTGATTAACAGCCATTGTATTGCTATGTATATTACCATGTAGATTTCCACATCCACACCAGGATTCTCCAGGCAATACTAACCCCTGCTCCTGTGCCTCAAGTCTGGGAGTGCAGAACAGAGGTTTGAGTCATCCATGGCTGCCCCTTTTGTAGCCATTATTAACAGTGCTTTGCCTTAGATGGTTCTCATCTTGCCTTGAGTTCACTCTTGTATGTGAATATTTCCCCCTTACTCAACACTTCTTGAGGAATTCAGAAGATTTTTTTTCCATTTTTTCTTTGATCAAAAGTTCCACATAAACACTGTGTAGTATTGATGATTATATGTTGGGTGATTGACATCAGGGGCTGAAATTAAGGTGTTTGAGTGAACAAAGGTAAGGCACACATGTTCCCTTTTCCACTGAGTTTTTGGTCTCTCACCACCCAAAGCAAAAACTTTATCAAGTCACAGAACTCCCAAGGGATCATATTTTAAAGGAACTCCTGTATTTCCCATGCATGGGGAAGGAAAATGTGTAGTATAGTTTATGGAGAACAGCCTCTGAAACACACAATGCCTCGATTTGTACAGTTCAGCATCATTTGCCCTGTCTTGAAAAGTGTTGGACACAACAGGGTGGAAACAGTAGACCTCTTGAAAGAAAACACACATTTACTGCTCTCCACAAGAGTTATATTGAAAATGGTGTTCCAAGCTAGGGTGCACAAGAGCCTAGACCTGAAAAATAATCACATCTAGCTTGGAAAATGAACAACTATACAGTGGTCCCATTCAGCTTTCCCTGTTTGCTATTGCTTCTGTCTTTTGGGCTCATGAAAAAGCCACGAAGAACCCACATGGCAGGGCAGGCATACTGACAGCAGTTGGGACAATTACAGAAGCTTCAGTCATGCCTTAATATATGGTCAACAAAGAGGCGCCACATTGAGTTGTGCAGAGTGAAGGTGTATGAAGGTGCAGTCACAATCATCTCAGCCCTCTCAATTTCTCTTGCTGATTCAGAAGAAGGCATAACTAAGGTACGCACTCATCAAATTAGTCACTGAGATGTTGCTTTATACTGGTACCTGGAGGAACATGCTTGTTCACACAAAAGGATACAAAATAGATTCACTCTATCATTCAACTAGGTCATTCTTTTTCTACTCCAGTACTCTTGCTGTTTCAGAACTGATGTCTTTTTTAGTTGGGAGCTGTTCTGTGCAAAGGGGCTGTTTAACAGATACCTGGCATTTACCTTTAAAAATCTACTATTACCTACTCTGATCTTTAAAAAATATTATTTTTTTTTGTGTTTGAGTGTTTGGCTTTGTGTATGTATGTGTACCATATGCTTGCCTGGTGTCCTCAGAGGCCAAAGGAGGGCATCAGTTCTCCTGGAACAGGGTTGTGAGCTGCCATATTGGTACTGGGAACACTAATCTGAGTCCTCTGCAAGAGTAGTCAGTGCTCTTAACTGCTCAGCCATCTAACTCCAGCCTCTTTGAATTTTGGTAATTAAGTTGTCTACAGCTATTGCCAACCACAGGAATGAGATAACCTTCTGTTAGGACTATTGGATCAGATGTTTTTCTTTTAGTTACTTGAGGTTGAAAGTGGAAGGAGAATCTGGCTTGCACAGCAGGAACAAGAGACCTTGTATCAAGGTGGAAAGTGAGAACTGACAAGCAAGATCCTCTGGCCTCCGCAAAGTGTGTCATGACATGCATGTGCCAACAATCATACAGGCAGATACAGGCACAGTTTTTTTTCTCCCCTCTTTGGAAGTTGGAAGGGGCATCGCATCAACACAGGACTCTTAGTTATGCAGTTTCAAAAGTTCTGTGCATAGCCCTTGTGTTTTCTCATGTAGAACAGCCTTGAGATGTTTGTATCTGTCTCAAGACACAGTGGTATAAAAATTTTCATTAGTATTTTAAGTCCTTTTAAAGAACACAGGATTTTAATTTTGAGTATATCAGCTTACATTCATCAGAGTATTTTTATATAGATAAATAAGTCTACACATACTAACAAGTCACAGTCATATATCATGGCAGAGCTGGCAGTATATCTAAATTGGAAATGAGTTACATAATAAATGAAAACATGACTAAGTATGTCCCTAATGGTATCCTTTTGGGGGATTGTAATAAATTAGAAAAAAAGAAGACGTACATCCAGTGGGAGTTAGATATATAGTATATTCTACCTGACAAAATACCCTACCATGCATGGATTTAGTAGGATGTGGAGCTCACTGATGTTCTCATTAATCTGGATTTAAAAACATCTCGAAGAAAAAGGCGAGGGAAAACATACAGAATCCTCATTGGCATTAACTGAATAATACAGCAACATGAAAGATGCAGTGTTGCAAGCTTTCAGTCAAAAATCTTTCTGCTGTTTGGTACCAGCCATCCTTTCTGTTTGCGTCAGCTACTACTCATTAACTTAGTAGATAGAGATGTAGCTAGAGTTTTTCTGCCTGGCCCACAGTCAGGACAATTATCTCTCACTCGCCAGTCCCACAGCCGCTCAGACCCAACCAAGTAAACACAGAGATTTATTTTGCTTTACAAACTGTATGGCTGTGGCAGGCTTCTTGCTAACTGTTCTTATAGCTTAAATTAACCCATTTCTATAAATCTATGCCTTGCCACGTGGCTCATGGCTTACCGGGTATCTTCACATGCAGCTTGTCCTGGCAGCGGCTGGCAGGCAGTGAGTCCTTCTGCCTTCCTGTTCTTTTATTTCTCCTATCTGTTAGTCCCGACTGTACTTCCTGCCTAGCCACAGCCAATCAGGTTTTATTCATTGACCAATCAGAGCAACTTGACATACAGACCATCCCCCAGCACAGCCAAGTGCAGATCATCTTAGACACCTGCACTCAGGCCCGTGGTCCTAATCATCCTCTATGCGGACCTGCTGGGTAAAGCCATGAGGAATCCAAGAACGGGCTCCCACAGGACATACAGAACATCCCACAGCATCGAGATGTTGTGGTGAGAGGAAAAAGATGGGCCAATGAGTTCAAGGGGTTTTCTTTGAAATTCACTGATATATTCTCTCTGATACAAAGACAATCACTAATTTTTTTTTTTTTTTTTTTTTTTTTTTTTTTTTTTTTTTTACAAAGCAAATTGATCACCAAACAATTCAGTAGGAAAAGGTAGTTGTTAGTAAATGTAGTCCTTCTGTCTGGGCGGAGGAGCACTCAGTCACCTCAGTGTTGTACTTAGATTGGGTAATTCAACTAGTAACTAGTAGTTCTATTAGGTCTAATCATCATATTGTTTTTCCCATCCAAAAAGCAAGGGGATTTTCAACTCCACTTAGAATTATTCTCAAATTCCCAACAGTTCTTTTTATGCCACAGTATGTCTTTATGTCTCTTTCACAGTAGAACAAAGCCTTTCTCTTTGATTTCATGAAATGGTAGACTTTTTAATTCTCCATGTGTTTGGGGGTTTGCTTACGCAACATGCAATACAAGAATCATTGTGAGATTATATATATATATTCACAGAGACTGTGGCAGTATCCACAAGACCTGCATAGGTTCAAGCCAGATAGGGGTCTCAGCACTGAGATGGGGAAGTGGACATGAGATCCTATGCCTTACCAAGAAGCTTCTTGAAACTGATACCTGCTGGCAGAAGGAAAATCAATTATCTCTAATGGAGTGTCACTGGGTTTATCAGTCACACTTCATGGGAGGCCCCATGCCAAGTAAGAGTTGGCCATCACAAACCAAACTGTACTTTTTTGTTTGTTTTTATGTGTGTTTGGGATAGGACATGAGAGCAAGTACCTGAAAGAGTAAGAGTGAGAACACAGGAACATAGAGTTAGTTGGGTGAGTAAGGGTGTGAGGAGATTCTGGGAGGAGTTGGGGTAAGGGAAAACATTTGAGTAATAATAAAAACAATTCTTATGCTGAAATGGCCCTCTGGTGTATTAAGACGGTAATTAATCATGCTTTCATTCCTAGTATAAAATTATCCATTCCTGTCTTGTGGTGTCTTCAGAACATTGGTCCAGGACACCAACTCTTCTATACTCAGAATATGCAATCTGAAAATACCAAGTCCTCCACATAAAATATGACATTATTTGCACATAATTCATTCACATCATCACATGTACCTTAAATTACCTTCTGATTATTTAAGTCATACAATGTAAATATTACAGAGACAGTTATCTAGTATATTAGGTATTAAGACAAGAAAAACGATCTGCATATATTCATTCTAGAAAATTATAATTATTATATTTTTAGTATTTTTCTTGTCTCCATA